CTCTTGGCTTCAACTCACATATCACTCAATTTCTTTACTTTTAAATTTATCCAGCTGCTTTAAACGTTTTGAAATGGCTGCATGAGTGACTTCCAAGGTATCTGCGAGCTCTTCTTGTGTTCAACAACAATCTTCATCGATAAAAACATCCAGTTCCTCAACTTCAAAACTTTTTTGATCGCACAGGACGTTCTTCGCCTTCCAAGTCAAAGAAAGGCTTTTTGCAGTTTTCTTTTGGCGAACAATATTGCAGTTAAGTGAATCTCTAATCTTAAATGCTTTTCATATATTCCTATTGTTAAAACACGAACATTGAATATACAAATTATAGGAAACTTATTATGGTATATTAAAATCTGTTGCTGCAAGTCGTTCTAGTTTGGTGACTCCCACTGTCTATTCAAGCGCATCAAAATCTAGCCAAATTGACGTAACTTATATACTTGCCCACTTCTGTACATATCGGCATATCACGTCATTTTGTACGAGCAGCTGTGTCGTATCGTGTCCATTAGCTACCGGCTATGATTGTCATACGCGTTGTCTACGTTGCGCTTATGACGCGCCGCCCATGATGTTGCAGTCGTGAGACATTAAATATTTAAATTTTATTTGCATTTGGAGGAAGTTTAATGATTCAACAATAGCAAATATTGTTCGAGTAATCGCCATAAAAATGCCAATAATAATACAATTACACGAAATATTTGTCGCGTTAAATGGTAATTATTATATTATATTATATGGTAGATATAATATACTCAAATCTATATATATCTATGTATGCATATATTTAGGTGACTGAGCTAGATAGTAACTACTATACGATTATATCTCAATCAAATCAATAACAAGCGGATATGCGAATTCTTGTTAGATAAGATATTGTGCTGCACATGTTTTTGTTGCAAACATTTTTTATGTGTATGTATGTATTTATATATGCCTAAGACTCACCATTCGTGCTTACTTGGTTCAATAAACCGTTATCATTTAACGCACGCCGTCCAACAGGTGTCACATTTGGTATTTTGTATCAAATATAGCTTATCGGTATTACTACTATTTTTACGTAAATAGAAAATATGTGTTGGAGAAAACTTTGATTGGTTTTTATACCCTGAATTTAATATACCACAAGTTTGCTACGAAGTTTGTTTCTGATGTCTTCAAGAAACTTGGCATGGATTATGTTTAAGACAACGTTACAATCTTCGAACAAGTTGTTTAGATCGGATCATCTGCCAAACAAGATGACCGCTCAACATCATGTGCTTGTATGAAAAACTGTTTTAGTTGACAAGATAACTTCACGCAATTTGGCATACACAGATTACAGTATAAGCCAATGATAATATATTCAAATCGGACCACTATAGGATTAGCAGCCATACAAACTGATCGATCAAAATCAAAAAAGTTCTTGCGAGGAAAAATTTTTTATTTGTGAAGTGTATTATAACTTCGGTGCAACTGAAGTTAACATCTTTTTTTGTTTTTGGTTTTTGCTAAAATCGGTCTTAATTAACTTGCACCTAAAGCCTATCAGCTTATCAAACGTCTATCGATAATCTGAATATTGCTTTTATGCACCTTAATCTCAAATTTATTGCAACAAGTTTTATAAATGTTGTGGAAATTCTAAACAATACAAATAAAATTTATGACTATAAATGTAAAAACGCAAATATATGCATACGAATACATATTAGGGTGGAGCGAAAAAATTTTTTTTGTTTTATTGGCTTAGCCCGAGGGTAAAATTTGTAGATTATAAAAAAAGAAAATTTTTGCACAAAAAAAAATTTTTCTTTAACTCTCAGTTTTAAAGTAAATTTTCGAGTTTTAAATTTTGTAAAAAATTTTTGAAAAGTGTTCTAGAAGCTATGGAGAGTCCTTTTTCTGGCTAATTAAAAGTTATGAACTTAACAAAACTTTTTGTGGTTATTATTGGAGTTTTAAAAAAACATCTTAAACGACAACATGCTTTCCTTAAGTGTTAAAATAAATTTTGAATCGAAAACCGTCACATTCGGTAATTTTTATAAAAATGTAAAGAGTTTAAACCAAAAATAATTTTTCTTGTGCAAAAAAAATTTTAATTTGAAATTTACTTTAAAACCTCTAGATGTTTAAAAAAAATTTATTTTTGTCCAAAAATTTACTTTTTTTATAATCTGCAGATTCTACCATCCGGCTAAGCAAAAAAACAAAATGTTTTTTTCGCTCCACTCGAATACATATGTACATAAGCAAAAGATTGAATTTATTTCGCTTGGCTCCAAAAATATCGATAATCGATCAAGCGGACGAAAAATCATAAAAATAAATCGCACTCCCGAATCGTCTAATTTAAGATTTATTTAAGTTGTGCCCGTTAATTTGAATTACAAATATGCCATTGTTCTCCTTACTTACTACAAATACAATGATGTTAATTATGTTATTATGAAAAATAGCCAAAAGCAATAGAGAACATGAATCTATTTAATAATATAATATAAGTTCCGAAGGAATTATTTATCTGATATTATCAACAGATAAGCAAGGTCGTTGCTTCATATATGGTATACATATGATACAGATATATCTCTGAAAGCCAGGGTATAATATATAATATGTATATAAACTTGAAAACCCGACTAAAGTTTTGAAGTGTGTTAACGTTAATCCAGTGTTAAAACCAATGTTTAGCATTGGACGCTGTTACTTTTTTTTCTCTACCAGAGAAAGAGAAATATCTCTTCTATTGAATATATTAATAATGACTAAAAGTACATACAAACGCATGTAAAAAGGATCAAAGGACAGTCATCTCACTCTAAATACTGAGAGTATGAAGTAACAAAGAAAAAATGTTTTAACAACATATCTGGATAATTGATTTATTGAACGTCGGAAGATAAATCATTAAATATTATTGTTTCAAGAACGAAGTATACTTATTTATATTGCACATATGTTATTATTTATAGTACTTAAAAAGAAAAGTATATATGTGTAAAAAAAGGCTTGAACGCGTAAATACATACATACTCAAATGAATATATACAATATACGTTCGTATACTATTTAATGAACTTAACCCGGCAAAATTTGTGGATAAAGGAACTGTCAATCTTCTAAAATTGATCTAAGGTTGCCGATAATTGCACGAATATGGTGAAAGACATGCGATTGTAGTGATTGCGTGTTTAAAGAAGTTCAGTGCATTAGGTCAAATTAATCATTGAAATCAGCGGGCAAAGTGCTAAACGACCCACTTTCGTGAGTTTTTTCGCTATGCTTCATTTTACAAATATTATAATCCACATATGAGTAGGAAGGAGATAGCAAAGTGTGATGAATGGTTATGGAGTTCATTTGAAATTCTTAGAAACATACTCGTAAGCCTATGCACGGCTCGTTAACTATTTAATTGATAAAAAAAAGTTTGTATAATCTGGTAAAAACTACTAAAATCAAGCACCAAACACGCCAGAGACCTTAAATTTTATCTCTGAGATGGTAGTAGATAACTTTACCGCGCTCAAAATTATCTAGAGATCTGCTTAACCGATTTCAACCAAATTCGATACATAACATTCTTCTCACCATTTTAAATTCCATCTGATTGTTTCACTTTTCACTATGTATGTATAATATGCCGCCTTCTGGCCAAAAATTGTCTAAATCCAACCAAAACTGTTCAAGCCCCTAGGTCCTGAATATGTGGACCCCAATGCCTGTAGTTGACTTTTTACCAAAAATATCGGTCAATGTGTAAGATATATGTATATTTGAAATTCATATAATAAAATAAATAAATGAAACTCTCGATAATAGTATGTTTTTGTGTCCAAAAATGGGTTGAATCGGATCAGTACTTCCTATAGCCCTCATATACCTAATATAAAGATTTTTTAACTTCCGGGTGACTTTATACCGCATATAGCAGGCAATATGTGAGTTATCTCAATGAAAATGAGAGAGCATGTTTTACTCATAACAAGGTATCTTTGTGCCTAAAATGGATAAAATCGGTTGAAAATGTTACCCAGCATTTTATTTGTCTGTGGCATGTTAGTAGTATGTGATATTGGCAAAAATTGATAAACTCGGATTAATACTACCCACAACTTCCATATACTTGTACTACTTATTCACTACTACTTTTCGTCATTCTAACCAGTTTTATTCCGAATATGTCGGTCAGTGAGTATTAATATTTTTTTTCTCAAATGAGTGTACTATTTGACTTTTCGAGAGTATAAAATGTTCAGTTATTACTGAACTTAGCCCTTCCTTACTTGGTTATCGTTCGTTTACCACAAAACCGGCAAAATTCCTGGATTGTTCAAACATCGTTTAGGCAATGTTAAAAAATGGTTTATAATAACGGTCGATTCTCGTCTCTCTACCTCCACGTATCTCCGCTAAGAAAACTGCTCATAAATTTTATGGTGAAGTTTTTAAACTAAGTTTTACTAGTAAGACCTTTCATTTGTCCGCTCTCCAATCGTTATTCATCTCGGAAAAATTGTCGGGTTTACACTTAGAGATAGCAAAGTTCACAATATCGCCGACTTTTACCGATAAAAATGACTTTAGATAAAACGAACGAATAGCTACTCGCTACACTTGGCAATGAAACATAACAAAGTTTTAGGAAAAAAAAAATACTTTCGAGAATAAATGGCAAGTTAATATTGAAGCCGTAAATTATTGTTGGAAAGGAACCTGCGCCTCCCCAATTGCATAGGCCATACACCATAATTAAAAAGTCTCATTTATGAAAAAATTACTAAGTACAAGTATAATGGTCAGCTTATCATCGAGAGAAATTATATCACACACGATTACTCTAGTTCTATAAAGTATGATGTAATGTTGAGTGGGAACGAGGCCATATCTGTATTTGTATGACTATTGTTTGCTGCGGCATTAATCGGTCATTAAATCAATATATAGTTTGTTTATCGCTTTTAATTATTGACCAATATTTCTTTTTCATTTTACAGATTTTCTTACAAAACAGCCTGCTTCCCGGTGAGATTGCAATAAACGAAAAAAGTGAAGAATTTGCAACTTCATTTAACGGTACTATCGTGGAAATCGTTTTATAAACAATCTAATATTAGATATTACTAAGCCAGATTTTTCAAAATGCCTAAAAAAGCGAGTAGTTTAGGCAAATGGCACCAAAGTAATCGCAAAATTATTATTGGACTTTGCGGATTCTGTTTGGGCCTTTTCGGCGTGTTATGCGGCATGTTTTGGGAAAAAATCTTCAAGAGCATAATGGAAAAGGTTAGAGCTTTACTTATATTATTATTATATATATATTTGTTATATAGTATACACCAACTATAATGGAAATATTTGAGAAAAAAAAAACGAATAATAATTTGCTGACTACGTATTTCCTTGTAATATAGTTGATTAAGAATCTTTCGTGTTCCCGTTTTTAGTTGAGAAGTTAATAATACTCGTTTAATATTTGATAGACGTTTAAATCGAACCAATTGATATTATTAACCCTAATAAAACATGCTAAGAGCCGCACGAGACTTTGAGACACGTGTGCTACGTTTATTTTGTTGTATATGTTAGAACGAAACTAAGCTAGCTTTATATTTATCTTTGACGTTCTCGGAATGCGCAGTGTAGTTATCAACGAAAGCAAAAAAATTTCTGTTTTGAGAACTGCACTTTTTGTACAGATTTAAAAGTAATTTTAAGAAAATTTCGCTTGTCTTCAATGCTTTTTTTGTTGAGCACATAATCTACAACATTCAGACCCCTTGAAACATCGCTGGAAATTAATTTGTTATGACGAAAAGTTCGTTGTACGGAAGTTCGTTGCAGAGAAGTTCGACTGTCTTGCTTTTAATCTTTGTTTGACCTTTCAATCGACCAATTGATATTATTAACCCTCATAAAACATGCTAAGAGCCGCACGAGATATGAGACACGTGTGCACGGTTTGAAAAGCTTGTTGTCAAAACAATTATTCTAAATATGTTTGTGCGCCTTGATTTTATTTCCAGCTATTTTTATTTTTATTAATTATGTCATCAAAATGTTATATATGAATGTTTGTATGTATTGATGTATAAATAGATATGAATAAATTGAACACGTGGAACGCTTTTTTTTAAAGCAGTTTTTGTACATATAATATATTTTTAATTTTCATAGTTGCTGATCACTTGACTTAAGATTATACTAACTTCATCAATTGGTTTTGAATGAGTAAATTATTACTTCCATGAGGTTAAGAAACTTAGCCAACACGAAGCCAGTTTTTACAGAAGGCTCGTGAGTTTGATTTCTACATCGGTATTCCATACCTCTTCGAAAAAAATGTGAAGCCAAAATACTACACAAACTCGGGAGTTTTTCGTTACTGGAAAGGATAACATTCTTTTCTATAATGGGTTTGCTATTGCGAAAAACCGCTTAAGTTTCGGTAATACGTTGTCATAGCCCACACTACTTTTCCACTGCACTGGACTTCCCGAAGTGATTTGCCATTTTCGGACTAAACGTTCTGAAAACAAAGCGTAGTGCAGGATTGTTTCACTTACGCCCCCGCAATAATACAATACAAGGGCTGGGCATGGAAGAAGTTACAATAATATTTTATTTAAAGCTCTTGTGAAATCATTAAGATGTCTGAAGAATCAACTCAATGTTTTATATCGGAATTGTCATGTCTGAATAGAGTAGAGCAATTAATAGAAGCAACGAGTCTATTTTAAGTAGATGTCGTCAATTATGCCCTGTTCGATCTACAAACTGTAAATTATCGGACTTCACTATTAAGATGATAAATTATATTCATTGCTTGAGTTACTACTTTCATAATCTAATTTAATTTACAGTATTCTAGTACAGTTAGTAATAAATATAACCCTACTTGAAGAAAAGTCTAACACTTTAGAAAGTCTCTCCTTTCTTGCTTAATATGCCTTGATTTTGCTGACTGACCGAGAAATCAACATCTAAACTCAATAAATGAGAACTAATAGGATAGTTATTGATTATTATATATTTTATCAAATACAATAGCTATTCAGACTTTAACCCTTTTTAATATTAGTGGAATTGTCGTTATATAACAAATATATGTTTATATGTATTAATAACTTCATTAATTTGTAATCTACTCCACTTTCTTAGGAAATGACCTTACGACCCGACTCACAGGTTTACGACAAATGGAAAACTCCACCAATGGCTTTAAGCTTAGACGTATACTTCTTTAATTGGACAAATCCAGAAGATTTCAAAAATCTCAGTACGAAACCCAATCTTGTGCAGTTGGGTCCATATCGGTTTACAGAGAAACAAGATAAAATCGATATAAAATGGAATCCGGAAAACGCCTCAGTCACTTATAGGAAAAAGAGTGATTTCTATTTTGACGAGGAAGGTAGCAATGGAAGCTTGGATGATACGATAGTTACATTGAATGCTGTGGCGTTGGTGAGTGTATATTGACCCTATTCATATTTTTTTATATGGTATTTACTAAAATTTACTTTTTTTTGCACAGTCCGCTGCCGGTAAGGCAAAACGTTGGAACAGCGTGCGCCGCAATTTAGTCGATGTGGGTTTGAAGTTATATGGTCAGGAGCTGTCTATAACCCGCACAGTCGATGAGATGCTCTTCACGGGCTATAGCGACGATATGTTGGATATGGCGCGTGCTATGCCTCTTTTCGGCAAGGATGTTGATGTGCCGTTCGATAAATTTGGCTGGTTTTATACGGTAAGTTGAAAATAATAATTCACATTTACAGTAATTATACTAATATCATTTTTTATTATTAATACAGCGTAATGGCAGCGCCGATTTGACCGGTGTCTTCAATGTTTACACTGGCGCTGATGACATTTCGAAAATCGGACAAATGCACACATGGAACTTCAAACAACACACCGGCTTTTTTCCATCGACTTGTGGTTTAATTAATGGCTCAGCAGGTGAATTCCATCCACCATACTTGAAGGAGAATGGTAATGTTGCGCTTTTCACGCCCGATATGTGTCGTACAGTGCCATTGGATTATACAGCAACTGCAGAGATTGAAGGCATTCGTGGTTTCAAGTACAGTGGTGGCGCGCGTTCCATTGATAATGGTATTGACGTGCTCTTATCGTATATGTGAGGGAAACTATATGCAAATACCTATTTTGCAGGCACCCTCTATCCTGAGAATAGCTGTTTCTGTGGTGGTGAATGTGTTCCTTCAGGCGTTATGAATATTTCTTCGTGCCGCTTTGGTTCGCCCGTTTTCATGTCATACCCACATTTCTACAATGCTGATCCTTATTATGGAGAACAAATCGATGGCATGACGCCGGAGCAGGATAAGCATGAATTCTATATGGTGTTGGAACCGCGCACAGGTGTTGCTTTGGAGGTAGCCGCGCGTTTCCAAGTCAATATGCTTGTTGAGCCGATTAGTGGTGTAACGTGAGTATATTTTACGCATACATAAGATACATACCCCTAAGATCTTTCGTATTACTACTTTCAAGCTCAAGTAAACTAGTAAGTTTATAATATCTTGAACGTCCGAGCCAGCATTAGAAGCTCTAGGTGGAATTTTTTCAACTTATTATCAGTTTTAGGAAAACTGGTCAGATGTTTTAAATACATACATATATGGATTTTTTAAATATATACATAATTGATAAATTTATAATTATATTTAAAGAATTTTTAGGGTTCTAATATAATATATAGTATTATTTCTTGAAAAATCCGTTTTGAAAGCATACATTTCATTTGATTAAAAATTGTCCTAACTTCCTTGCCTTCCAGTTTGTACGAGAAAGTGCCACGCGTGTTCTTTCCACTCATCTGGTTCGAGCAGAAGGTGCGCATAACACCCGAACTTGCCGCCGATTTAAAGATGTTGCCGCAAATACTCATAGGAGGACAAATATTCGCTTGCGTCTGCTTTGGCATTGGTCTTATACTGCTCTGCTGGTATCCCATCGAAATTCTATGCACACGTCAGCGTTCTGTCGATCTCAAAACTATGCCAACAGCAGTTGAAAATGGTAAGAAAACAACGAAATTCTCCAGTGTTGAGGAATTGAAAAATCAACCATTACCTAATGTTGTTGTAAACAACAAAACGCTCGATAGTTCGCCTTTATTGGATCGTACGAATGGCAAGCCGATCATGGTTGTGCCAAAGTCGGAGACAAATGAGAGTGTTGCCACTACAACAACAACCACAAATTGTAGTGGTATTAGTGACAATGTAAAGGAATAATATATTGCGTATAAATTCGTAATACAACTAATTTTGGAAGTAACCAAATATTTGTCCTATTGTATGCCTTTTTTATAAAACGTAGTTAAGTGTAAATTCGATTTAGTGTTGTAAGTACAATTTTTGGCTTAGCAGAGGAAACTGTTACTTTCTTTTGTATTTTAAAAATGCCGTTAGTATATTAAGTACATTTATATAGCATACTATTTACAAATCATAAATATAATGCGCCAGTTAATTAATTGTAAACTAAAGCGTTGAGTGTGACAGTCAAGTAATTGGATCATAGCACTTGCAAAATGGTGCTAGTAAAACAGCGTTCAACTAGTATGGTGATCGTACTTTCGCGCGTAAAGAGAGATTTCTGTTTACGCTCTGCTGAGCTATGCATGAGTGTCCTACTCAGCCTTAAGGGAAATTTTCATGAATACCCATATCGTCGCCTACACTTAAAAGAACATGAACAATAAAGAATTTAAGTACTAGTATATAGATATTTCCGATAAATCATGGATTAATAAAAAATAAAGTATAATAATGTTAAAGGTTTTAAATATTATAATAATATTAGCAAATAGTTAGTTTTTATACACAAATTACACAACTTAGCAAAAAAACAAAAACAAGATGTGATATACCAAATGTTCAGATAAAAGGTGGCCTCAATCAAAACCAGATATTACTTATCATAAGTTTTTTAGAATATATAATGTGACAGAGAAAAACGCATTGAAAATTTTTATCTAAGTAATTTTGTATTTTTATAAATGATGAAATATTATTTTTGTGTGCATAGTTTTACCAAAATTGTACTACTCAAAAATAAAACTTGAAGTAAAAATTCGTTAAAAAAGAAAATGAGTAATCTTAACAGAAAAAACATAAGAGCATAAAACATAACACATAAAGACAATGCAAGCAAGAAAATAATTCAACATTCCTTAGTTAGTTTGTACTTTCAAGCCATTTTAAATAATACACATAAACTTGTATTTAAGAAATAATATGGGTTTTCTAATCCCGAATCATTATAAATTAGTTTAATCGGATCCAAAACATCTCAAAAACAAAATCCCATCCTATATCTTATGTATTTGTACGAGTTGATTTTATGAAATTATCTTCTATTTACGGTATTTTTTAAACTATTTTATAAGTTATGTGCTCATACATATTATTTAAAATTTCTTTGAAATAAAAATTGTAAAAATAAAACTCATGACGCATTTTTCATAAGCTATGCACATATAGAACACCGCTGTATTCTACCATCTTATCAAATTTGACCCGGACTGACAAAAAAATTACAATTTCACGTATTTCAATACAAATCTTAATTAGTGTCTTCAAAATTAGTTTCTGAGCAATGGGTGGTTGAGCCAATCTAGAAATTAAAATTTTTATCGTTTCGGTGTGCGCTGTTTATGGTATATGAACCAGTCCGGGTCAAAGATGACCAGCTGGTATTTCAAGCGTCGTTGTGAATTCATGATAGTCGTTTTTTCCTTTGAAAATATGCCTAACACATTAAATGAATAAAGAGCAAGCTGTAGTCATCTCCGTTGAATGAGCGAGGAAGTAAGGTCTCACAGTCAAAATCAAAAAAGTAAAGTCAAGTGGGTTTATGCTTTAACCACCAAGCTAATTAAATTAATTGTTGATACCCAAATTGTATTCCGTTGCATCAACTCACTGTGTTGCATCAACTCTCAACATCAGTCTCACTGGGTAGCGATATCCGATGAGCTATAGAGAAAAAATAGTATTATGTAGCCGGTTGGAAAATAGGTAAGAAAAAAATGAAATTTGAATCAGGAACTGCCAAGAACGGTGTCTTCATAGACTTATCAAGATTATTTAAAGGTTGCTTAAAGAAATGGAAGCAAGAGGAATCCCTAAAACATCTTTGGACCAGTAGAATATTAGGTAATGTAGGAAATGAAAATCTATAAAATGTAATTTTTTCATTTCTTTTGGGGTTTAAAATAAACTATTTACCGGCGACTAGTTAAGGCTACGAGTACTAAATTTTGAGTAAATGTAGAATCTACTAATTTTCGTGAATACAAATATGAGTAGAGTTAGACATTTTCTTATATGATATATTAATTATACCGTTTTTAAAATCGATGATTCGAATATTTCTTAAGTGAATTAAGAGACTGCAGAAAGTTTTAAGCCAGAGGCAATATAATTTATTGAGAGAGCACTCTCTCAGAGTGGTAGATTGCATATTTTCGGTTACAACTGGTTATCAAAATCATACTATTTGGAACCGTTATGGTATTTTTACCACAGAATGCTTAGCGACAGACTTCTGTAGAGGAATATCAGGTAAAACTGATATGTGATATAATATAAAATATTAATAAATATAGGTCATATTAATAGAGACAGATACAAAGACTTACATAAGTATTTTACAGTGTGTTAAATGGAACATTTATATTGTTAAAAAAAAAAACAATTTTACGAGGTTACGGCAAGTTTAATTTTAGTTGCTAGGTTCTTTTATTCGCTTATAAAACATACCACATTGATAAAAAATTTTATTTTAGTATGAAAATTGCCATTGCATACTAAAACAAACATTGTATGATCTAAACAGATATTTACATATTTTAATAAATATAAAAAATTTTACTTAAATTATAATCAATATTATTTTTATCTTCTTGAATATAAAACTTTGGCTTAATTTAATATCATAAAATTCCTCAATAATTTGAAAAAAAAATCTTGATGGAATCCAATATACTTTTCTACTGGTTTTATATTTCTATATTTGTTGAAAAATTTTTTGAAATAAAATATTTATACTAAGAAATTGCACCAATAATTAAGGCTAATTGATAATTGTGATTTGAACATATAGAGATTTACTTTATGTAATGCCTAATAGTAGACGACTTTTCGTTTATTCCATTCGATTGCGACATCCATTAGACTGGTGCCACGTATGAAATCCACTGCTACAATATTCGCATTTGCGCCCAATTCGTCGCGATAAAGTTCTGAAATGCGCCAATTCACTTGATCGGCCATTTTTCGCAGTCCACCATATTTATCGAGTATAACACCCCACGTGTCGGGTGTAAGTTCAGCCATATCTGCAATGGGTCGGCTTGATAGGCGACTGCAAGGAATGGAGAATTGTTATTAAAAAAGCCTCGTCACAATATATATGTGTATATGTGAGTGTATATATGAATAATATGTGTGTTTTTAATATTAATAACTTTATTCATACTGTTATCAATATTAATTTTGCTCAAAGGGTTATATCCACTTGCAGGTCGCGTTTTTCGTAATTTTTTTTTTTTGAAAGGGCATTTTATATGGGGATTCATTTTCAAAAATTTTAGATTCCATTGATAGATAAACACAGGTAAAGATCGATAGACTAGTCGAAATTTTGATTTTTGAAAAAATGGCGGGTTTTCAAAAAAAGTTGTAAAAAAAGTCAAAATTATTATCAAAAATCTTATTCCTTCGACCATTACCAGAATAATATATGTAAGAAGATTATGAGAACACCTTTCGAAAAAACGCGTTTAATGTTTGCCGATTCAACTTAAAATTTTCGGAGAATATTGTCAAATATATCCACATCTGATATAGTATAAGCAAAATCAAAAATCAATTTTTTTAAATTCCCAACTGGATATAACGCTTTAAGTTTGATATAAGTTGAAGTTTTTGAACTTAGGTAAAACTTTAACATACACTCACTTATGTATCATTATTATTTAATACAGTGTTTTACTTAAGCCCTCGAATTTCTTTACGCTTATCCCAAATTTTAGATCCACTTACGAAACATCAAAGTTGTTAATTGAACGTAAGTACTTCTCCAGCTTTGTCCATGTTTGCACATTGCCCCAACGTTGCTCCACCGAACCAAATAGTGTTTGCGGAAATTCAGCCACCACTTGACCCTTATCATAAGCCAAAATGACGTTCTGTTGCCTTGACCAAATATCGTTTAATGTTGCGCGCCACGACGCTGAAGGATGCACAATAACATCGCCAAATTGTTGTTGTAAGTAACTGACCAGCAGACGATGAACACCAAGACCTTTGCCGAAACCTGCAATGAATTACATGTATATACAATATATTAAAAGGTTTCTAAGTTTTTAAAATTCACTGAAAACAAACCGTTCCAAAATTTACTCACCAACCGGAAACTCTTTCAAACCGAATATCACAATCTCATTTGTCTCCAAGACAAACTCTTTAACTTGCTCGATAATTTCCGCTAGAGGACGCTGTCGTGTAACGCCATGATTAATATAGAAGCGCTCGGGCGTATTGCGATAATAACCGACGCGTATATCCAAATAACGCACGCCGTGCAACAGCTGACCGCGTATATCATCATCCTGTGTCAGCGCATACTTTGTGACGATCGTTTCGCGTAGTAGTGGATCAAAATTTGGTCTATACGAACCGGAGTCGTGTGTACCAGGTATGAAGAGATCGCGTACACGCATACCACCCAACTGTGCGCGCATTTCGCGCATCCAACGCGGATAGGCACGCAAACAGCTGGCGGCCAATATATCGCCACTGGCATTCACATAACTCGCCCAAAAGCCATAGCAGCCCGTTTTGGCGGTCACATTGCGTGACAGCGCGTAATCAAAATAAACACCGGTGGTAAACCATTGTGTGGCGGCGTTTGGTTGTAATGCGGCGACTATATCAACACTGCCATTATTTGAAATCCAATAATGACGTGGTGGTGCTGATGCTGTGCGCGGCGCTGTGGTGTAAGTGTCCACAAAACCGCTGCCTTCAAAAGTGTCGCTCGTATTCGAACGCGCAACGTAATTGTGTTTGTTTTCACGTTCGAGTAGATAGCGCGTTGGCGAGGAAGTGCTGCGTTCGGTAATGCCATCGTTTGGCACAAAGCCGCTACCTTCTGCGTTATCGAATGCAGCCAGCGGTGTGCCGGTAGTGCGCTCGACGCGCTCAAATTTGTGTGGTGCGTGCATGGTAATCAATATGTAATCATCCTTGTGCGCAGGCGCATTTGCCCAAGAGACCTCCAGAAAACGATGGCGCGCGCTTATTGTCAGCCAGAGCCGCAACTGTTTTGGTTGCGCGTCGGGACGCGTGGCGCTTAAATCGTATATGTCGTCGTAGTTGTAGGGCAGCGCAGAGACTGTGCTTAGGTCGTACAACGCGTACACGTAAAGTATCACGAGCGCTGCACACACTTTTATTGCTTTTGACATTTTCAAAACGTTACTGCTGCAGTACAGGGTGTAGCGCCTCTGTGTATGTTATACAAATGTGTACGTATGTATTGTACTGTTATTTGTATTTATCACTTTCACTTACTGTTGACGCGACCAATTGAATTAAATTAATTTAAAACACTTTTTATGTTTTTTCAGTTTGTTTATTTTTTCACTTAATTTTTCAACTGCAACACTTGACGTCGTGTGTGAAATTTGCTTTATTTTACACGCTCGTTATTCACTTAAGTGACAACGTGGTCGCTTGCACTTTTTTCTCGTACAAATCGCTTACAAACTGGCTGACTTGCGACAGCAAACGGACTGTGCGTGCAATTTCAAACCGTTCGCTCTGAGTGCTTGAGTCGTTCTAGATTTGTTTACAATATCATTTATGATTACAACTTAAGACAATAGTTGGAAAATTGAGAAATAAGCAATGTAACATAAGGAATGTGTTAATTCCCCAAATTGGGAAATTCGCTAATAAGAAGAATCATTTATTTTGACATTTCCTCTTCCTCGATAAGTAAAAAAAATGTGTTGTTTTATTTGGTAATACTACGATGCGCTGTATAATCAAAAAAAAAAACACACTTTGATTGATTGACAGAGGTCCAAAGTGTGATCTTGAACTGTTGTCGGACAAGTAGAAGCTTATAATGAAAAAATTCTTAACTAGACTTCAAGGAGTTAATAGATTTTAGAATATGTCCATTTCCTTTCCTTTAGAGAGGTATTAAATTAAGTGGAGTGAATAATTAAGTGGGAAGAAGCCACGACAGAGCTCTATGTGAAGTATCAAACGGTTTGGAGAGGCTTTGACTGAAGTCTCCCTAATTTTATACAGAGTTTTATTTAGACATAGAAGCTTAAAGGAACAACGTTTGTTATGGTAAGATAACAAGCTCTTGGCTCAAAAACGCCATTTTGTGTAGTCAAAATAGCGGTTGCATTCTCCACTAACTTTCTTTGAAGATTTTGTAGATTTTCCAACGAACCTACGTCTCATTTTTATACCCTGAACAGGGTATATAAAACTTGTCACGAAGTTTGTAACACTCATAAGAAAACATCTACATATACATGTATGGTAAATGAACAGCGTGAAGAGTTGAGTCGATTTAGTCACGTCCGTCTGCCTGTATATACACGAACTAGTCGCACAATTTTTGAGATATTGATCTGAAATTTTGCGCACATCCTTTTCTTCCCAAGAAGCTGTAGTCTTGTATGGAAAATTTTTTTATTTAACAAGATATCTTCACGAAATTCGGCACAGATTAGGGTCCAAGGCCATTTCCGAACAAATTGTTCAGATCGGATCACTATAGTATACGGCTGTCATTCAAACTGAAGGGTGTTATAGCTTCGGTGTTGCCGAAAGTAAAGTTTTTTCTTATTTTAATATACGAATGTATTCACCTACTACATATTTACGTACTCTCATTCTCTATGGGATGTCATTCAAAAAAATACAGATCTACATACTCATCCACCATATATGTAAGTATGATCTCTCGTTCTTAATAACTGTGACACTGCGCCAAATTGAGTACACGACCTGATCGCGGAAGACCTTCAAGCGTATACTGTTTACAAGCCCCAATTGGCTAGATGTCGCAGAAGCATACAACAACTTTACATAAGTATATTTACGCTGAGCTTCATAAATGTAATTCTAAGCGAGCAAGTTGCTGCAGCGGAGCATCAGACTCAATATATAATATAAACAACACCTGCCTTGTATCGGAGCTATATAGCGGCATATATACAATACATATTTACATATATCGACAATGAAGAGTAAATTTAAAAATGTTAAGCGAGAACTATACAAATGGCAAACCGGGAACTTTGTTTTCGATTTTGTACCCAATGCATGAATGCAAAGTGTATTATAATATCGAGTCTATTGGTGGATTGCAGTTACCTTATTTTAGAAGGATAAATAAATGAGGCAGACGATATGGTTAAATGAAATGATCACACCAACAACATAATGAAACCCAAAAGCGGAAACTCGAACTCGAACTCTGATCGAACAGGGATCGCACGACTACAACTACCTAAAAACACTAAAATGGAATCTTCAATTTGTATTATGCTGACTAGTTACAGAACAATTAATTTATGAACTTATGGACCTAGTGCCGGATAAATTTATGTTGCTCGACCTTACTATTTTCTATCGTAATTACTTCAACAATCGAAGCATGCGATGTGATATCGAAGAATTGTTCTCAACAATAGCAATTAAATTAGTTTCACAGAATATTTTAGCTATAAGTAATTATACTAATGATGAAGTTCTATATATAGTGCTAATAAGAAATTAAATGCAAATTAAATATATTCTAGTCATATAATTTGGGATTTGATCACAAAAGATAAAAGGTGGTTAAAAAATTATTTTTCTACGAGGTAAAAGGACAGACATTTATCTTCGAAGCCTCAGAGAAATACGTCTATTTTTAAGGGACCACATTATTCCCGGCAAAATCCGGGACGGTGTTTTTTAGTCATTGATTTTTTCCGTATTCTAATTCACTGAAAATCGCTACACATAATAAGTGAGAAAGCAATAAAATTTTAATCAAATCATTCTTTTTTTTTTAATTTCTAAGCCCGGGACGCTTAACTCGGAATGCGGGCTGTCTCGGCCAAACCGGGACGAATAGTCAGCTAAGTCACGTCAAGTTTAGAATTGCGTAGCTAAATAAAAGTGCGTAGGATAATTATAAAAATGAAACTGTTCATAGATTGATCAAGAGAGAGAATTTCTAAGGAAAGACATATAGACAATAACGTTGACTAAAACGAAGCTCAAGTTTCGTAGAGTATCTAAATAGTACGCGCTGTTGATAACACACAATCGGAAATACAACAGTTTTTGTGTTCAAGATCCAAATCACGAAAATGTTTACAAGCTCGTAAATAATAGTACAAGTATTAATAAAATTTTAACGAAAAATTATGAATATCGTCACGGAATCATTTCCACAGTCTACACAGACGACGAGACAATAAAAAATCATGAAAACCAAAACTCATTGGAAAAATTAATAATATTTACACAGTTGTAAGTTTCAGAATTTGGGGCATAAATAGAACTTCACCACTAGTACGTAATGTACAAACATTATATTAGTCAAACTTTTGACTTGGGTCTTTCTTTCGAAGCCCATAGAGTTAGGCTTTTTTCCAATTGCAAAAGATTTTGAAGTTTAAAAAATATAGGGGTTAAGTTATTAATTTATTACAATGCCAAGTAAGATTTGGATAAGTAAGTAAGACATGGATTTCTTGGTTCACAAAAGTTTTATTTGGCAAAACTTTCTTATGTACAATATATACATACAGACGTATGTATGTATGCAAATACCTACAATCCAACTATTGCTCAGTATTTTAGTCACTGCCATTTCCGTTTTTGATTTAAATTTCATTTAAGTCGGCGCTAAAAAAATACAAGTTTTCACATGCGTTTGCGCTCACTTTTTTCACGCTTATTCGATTTGTTTACTATGTTGTATGTAATCAAATTGTAATTGTATTTAAATGCATAATGTTACTTGTTTGATTATTTAAATATCATTATTTGCCTTTTTACTTTCAATAAACAATAATAACACTTGCATTAGTGTTCTCTTCTAAAGCAAACTACACTACACGATCCGCGCTCTTTCACGCTGCCCCCACTTTCAGTAATCAAAAATAAATTTATTCCACGACAAAAGTCCAACCAGTAGCCAACAGTCCGCGTAACTAACGTTCCCAAAGTGCCACCTTTCACGTGCGGTCGCAAGCGCCGACTGAAGCTCACCATTGCAGTGACCCTTTGACTTGCCGCCGCACCCACAAGTTTAAAATATTTTACTTATTTGCGCTCTTATGCTTCCGTTGTTTATAAAAAAAATTTACTATGCTTTATTCTCATTTGAATGTAATTTTTTATCTCAATTATACCGCAGTGTGTGCTTTTTTATTAAGAGAGTAGTGCCTTAATTTGCAAAATTTAATCTGTGTTCAAGTTTAAGCCCAAAACGATATATGCTCCAGAGATAAATGTTTAAATAATCACATGCAATTTTGTAAGTTTTAAGCGAGCTTGTGTCACTCCTCCCAGGGATGGATGTGGGACGCATGCATAAGCTAAACATCTAATCTGACCAATTCCTGTGGAGAATAATTTGTTGCCTTAAGCAATAACTCGTGCCTAATTTCGTGAAGATACCTCGTCAAAAAAAAAATTTCCATGCAAGCACTTTACTCCGATCGTTCAGTTAATATGGCAACTATATGCTATAGTCATCCGATCTATACAATTTCTTCGAAGATTAGATTAATGCTTTAAATAATAATACTGATGCCAAATTTCGTGAAGATACCTCTTCAAATGAAAGAGTTTCCCATACAAGCACTTGATTCCGATTGTTCAGTTTGTATGACAGCTATATGCTATAGTCATTCGATCTATACAATTTCTTCGGAGATTAGATGAATGCTTTAAATAATAATACATGCCAAATTTCGTGAAGATACCTCGTCAAATGAAAGAGTTTTCCATACAAGCACTTCATTCCGATTGTTCAGTTTGTATGGCAGCTATATGCTATAGTCATCCGATCTATACAATTTCTCCGGAGATTAGATGAATGCTTTAAATAATAATAATAATGCCAAATTTCATGAAGATACCTCGTCAAATGAAAGAGTTTTCCATACAAACACTTGATTTAGATTGTTCAGTTTGTATGACAGCTATATGCTATAGTGGTCCGATATCTGCCGTTTCGACAAATGAGCAGCTTCTTGGTAAGAAAAAGACTTGTTCAAAATTTCATATCGATATCTCAAAAACTGAAGAACTAGTTCGCGTATATACAGACGGACGGACAGTCGGACATGGCTAAATCAACTCAGCTCGTCACGGTGATCATTTATATATATATGTATTATATGGTCTACCCCGTTTCCTTCCAAACTTCGTGGCAAATTTAATATACCCTGTTCAGGGTATAATAAAAAATAAAATTATGAAACAGAACGGCTACGAATGAGTTTTTCATACATGGTACACCGGGAAGAAGTTAATAAAGACCACACAAAACTATCTTTCAAGCTTATGGTTGGTTGAAGTGATACCTGTTGACCTAACTTTAAGAGCTCCCAAAACAAAAAGGGAATATGGCGCTCCTACAGCATCAATATCAGCGGTAGTCTTAAGAAATCCATTGCAAGGTATCCAGTATTATAGCAAGAGAAACGAATATAGTTCCAATACAAATACGAGATCAATAGAGGCCGAGCGTTATCATGATTGGCCAGGTTTCACATATGATTTTTTGTGTTTAAGGTTGTTGTAATGAATCCATCTTCATCACCAGTTACAATCCATGTCTGACTAACAAAACGTCTCTTGGCTTAAATGCATATAGCAACCAATTTCCTAGCTTTCGGCTGCTTTTAAACTAAAATATTTTGATTTTTATTACAACCCTAGTAACTGCTAATCTTTTTTATTTAGCTAATGCAACCATGTGACAGAAACAGCTGTTTGGTTTCTATTGCCTAACTCCAACAAATTAAGGTAAACAAATAAATTGGAAAATCGCAGATATATACAAATAAACAAATTGATGGATAATGAATGCAGCTCTGGAATTAGTACCAACTCTACATAAACCGTTGCATTCCAAAGTTTCCAACTACCTCAACAATCAACGGCGTTCTGGTCAATACTGTGATTTAATAATCGAATTGGAGTTGGATGTGGCTGGTGATGATGCAAATGCCGAATTCGGACACTTTTGTGTTGTTGGCGCACAAAGTCGCTTCATTGGTGGACCACAATTCATACAAAAATCATTACAATTTTCAATACACAATCCTTTAAAGGTGACAATCAATAATTTCAGTTGTACACAATGTCTGCACACCATGATGGATTTCTTCTATGAAGATATTATTTCCATATCGAAGGAACATGAACCACATTTCAAGCAATTGGCAAAGATTTTAGCCGTGACAGAGTTAATGAATTTATTTGAATTGCCAGATGAATTGGTGCCTACTGTGACTGGTAATAATCAAGCGGTCATAGCCCAAGCATGTGAGACCCATAATGACACTGAGGTTGATGTAAAGAAAGGGACTGTAGAAACTGAGACGGAGAAGAAGCGTGATGTCAATTTAGGCAATATATATAAAGATCAGCGGAACTTTTTCAATGTAAGTGGACTATGACGTTTTATGAATGAATGACTAAATTTATTTATGTTCGAATTTAAAGCTAAAGAATCCGCGTGCCACCAGTTCCAGCAGTAAAATCAACTATTGTATCGGCTGTGATTTCAAATGCTATCGCGTGCAGGAAATGATTACGCACATGAGCAACTGCGAACCTTCTCATCTCACCTGTTCACTGTGTGAGGTTGGATTCTTGGCATGGCGTGAGTACGAAGCGCACATTCAACACCATCTGAGCAATTTAAAAAAACCGTTCTTTTGCCTAGAGTGCGGTGCTCGTTTTGTCAATCGTGCTGCGCTAACCATACATTTACCCAAGCATACAACAGAAACACCGCATCAGTGCCAACACTGCGGAAAAGGTTTTAAATGGAAGCAAGGCTTAAACAGTCATATGTTAATACATAATAAGGAGAAGCAAATGCTTTGTGATGTTTGCGGTTATAGCACAACACATATGAAAGCGCTAAAATCGCATAAATTGCAACACACTGGCGAATACTTTAAATGTCCATATCCTGAATGTAACCACCATGCAAATCGGAAAGAAAATCTACGTATACATATGGAAACTCACAAACAAGAACGTCCATTCGTATGTGAAGTTTGTGGTTGTAAATTTAGTCAAAGTAAGAATTTGAAACGGCATGCGCTCAAACATTCCACAGAAGAAGTACACAAATATAAATGTCAATTATGTTCATTTGGCAGTCATCGTTCGGATAAAGTGAAAGAACATGTGCAACGTGTGCATACTGAGAAAGAAGTGCAATTGGAATTGCCGGAAATAGTTGAGAATGCTTTTGAAAATAACGTCTGTGACGAATTCGATTTGCCACCGCTAACTGGAATCGACAGAGGCGAGCTATTGAGTGTAAAGAATGAAAAAGTTAACACTAAAGATGTGACAAAAAAAGCTCGCACGAAAAAGAAGGCCACTAGTTTAACACAAAAGAAACGGCCACTATCTATTGCGCCAAAACCTCATGCAGTTGTTGCGACAGTTACAAATTCATTAAGCAATAGTGTTAATAGTTGAATAAATTTTAAACATTAGATGCAAATATGAGTTTGATTATAATGGTGGTAAAGGCGCTTACCTGCTAACTGGCCCGGTGCAAGTGTAGATTGGTTTTTTATTTTCCATGCGTTTATTAAATATTCATTTGATAAAACACATTCACTCTCGTTTTTTTTCTCTCACTTACCTAATAGAAACATTGTATACACATTTGCAGATAATACGGGAGAGAAATGGGATTCTGTTCACTTTGACAGGGATAATTAACAATAGCACTATTTTTACACTGATCACAAACTTTCATTGGCATTTGGATTACTGGCATAGACAATAGGCTTAGCTGATATAAGCTGCATGTGCACATTTGCAGAAAATAACTATAGAGATTGGGCTTTGCTCGCTTTGACTACACGTTTTCTTGCACTTGCCGCAGGCTATAGCATATATCAAATATTAGCACACATGAAACATTGCTGATTTTGATATTGATAGACTATACATTTCTAATAATTATAGATTTCTTCACTTAGATCACACATTTTCACTTTCATTGGCACTAGCACTGAAGAAGACTTAGCTAATATCACTTCCGAATGCTATTTTGCAAATAAGATGGTGTTGAGATTTTACTCTGCTCATTATGAAATGGATATACTACATTTTTCTCATACTAATTGGTAACTTGATCACAGATTTTAACTTCCATTTACACTGGGAAGTGGCACAGGCAAAAGGACTTAGATAATTTATTACACTTATGCGCCTGTGCCAAATGCTTAGGTGGAATTCGTATTTTATTAATTTAAATTTGGATTAATCGGAAGTAAAAAGATTTTCACCGGAACGCGAATTTTATACACAATAATCATTTCCGCGCGTGTTGCTTGACAATTTTGTAGCAACTGGAATAACAGGTTGAATGAGAGCATTTATAAAATGGACACAGGGTGATTGTAATAGTTTCGTATTAACTTACTGCTCAAAATAATTTACTTATAGGAGAAATATTGTTCTAACAAGAAATGCATGTGTATGTACCAACGCATGTATGATAATGTATAAAGAACGATTGTATAATATATAAATTCAAACATAAAAGGCCATTTAATTTTTTTTTTCTATTTGGAAAAAATGTCAATATCGAAAATATTTAAAAAAATTGGAACTATTTTAGATATTTGTGCTTGAGTTGTAAACTGAATTAGTGTCCTACCCTTCCGATGCTTTTACAACCACAAATCTTTCTATTAAGAAGTTCTTTTAATATAATACCTAAAACCCTGATACACCTTCTACTTTTCTTTCTCTGACATTTATTTACCGTTTTAACAAGCTCCGGTCTGTTATTCCGCCATTTTAAAGTTTTGTAATTAAGTGTGTTATTGATAAAAGAAAAGTGTGCAAAAAGCCGGCTGGCAATTAGTCAATTAAGTTGTGCGCATCAATATATTTTTTTGTGTTTTTGTGTGATACGCTGTATGAAATAGCGTTTTGTGCCGTGAATCATTAGGTCTAAAAAAATAGGTGTAAACAAGTGTTTTGATAAGAAAATTCCAGAGCAATTTGTTTATGTGCAGAGGTGCGGAGCAGCAGCTGCGCTACAAGGTAAACTTCTACAATTTGCTAGATTATTTGTTAACAAGACTGCTTCTTATTGATACAACCAAAACATTTATCATTTTTCAATTCGAAGTAAACAACCCGGCGAATATGATAATGAAAACAAAGATACGCAAAAACAAAAATCGGTCATGGCTTTTTATTGCGTGGCTGCTCTTGGCATTAGTTAGCATTATGTGTGTTTGCAAACAATCACGTTGCCTGTTGAGCAAAACGTCTATACGTCTTTTGGCGGGTGGGATTATGTATAGAAAAATTCTAGTTTATTTTTTTTTCATAAATTTCTTGTTTTTATAGTACATACTTAGGAATATCTATGCACATAAATTGCTTGTTGATTTTCTTAGTAGCATTCAAATTATAAAAAACGTATAAACATTTATTTTTCTGTAGCCTACGAGGCTGAATTTTATTTCAAACGGATTCATTCGTTTACCCAATTGCTTATAAAATGCTTTATAAAAAGTATGTGATGCCAATAACACTTAACAAGGACTCATTTTATTATGTTTTGCTTACAACTTCCCACTAAGGTGTGATATATATATATGTATTTATGAATGTATATATATATATATATACATATGTATTTGTATGCCAATGTTCCGTGGTTGTGGCTTTTTTACCAATAGGAAGCGGAAATGCCAGAATATTTTTTTTTACAAACGCATTCGTACTTACCTACACACATTTACAACAAAAAATCAACAAGTATTGCATATGTACATATGTATATTTATGTATTATGTAATTTTTTACATTTTTAAGTCATAGTACTATAATTTATATTCAAATACGTAATTACCAGTAAATTTTGGTTCAAAAATACAAAAACAACAAATTAAAAACATGCAAACAATTGACACAGTAGCAATTGTTTCAAAATTTGAAGGTCATCAATACAGGAATATGTATAAAATATTGAACAAAAAACTTTTTTGAAGAAAATAGGTAAAGATTTTTTCGAGTTGCACGCGATCTCTAACGGCGCTAAAAGAATTCCTGCACTGCTGCAGTGACTCCGATCTACTCAGTGAATGAAACCTAAAAAAAAATCTTCGTCCCTTCAATGACCTACGGTCGAAAAAAAAACAAATGATCACAAAGTGGCGGCGTTTTTAAAGCAGAAATTGAATTTTATACAAAAAAATTCGTTTTTGGTTTCGATTTAAAAAAGGGCGCGTTAGCAAAAGTTTTTAAAAATTGCGTCAGCTTTTCGGTGTGACAATATAATTTCAAGTGTAATACATACACACACAACTCTAAACTTAATAGCTCCAAAAAGTATTGAATTCTTCTAGAAGTGCTAAAAGACACGTAATCGGAAACTTATCATAACAGTGGTTTATCTTTATGTCTGGGTTTATCTAACTAACAAATGTGCCTGCATAGCATAGCCTACAACTCCAGATAGTGCTCTAACTCTCTAGAAACACAGATGCGTGCACCCTGTCGACATGGAAAGCAAATTATAGCTGAGCGACAACCGCTGGAATTGAGTGGTGGTGAGTATGGAATAGTTTTATGTAGGTAAGTTTGTATGTGTTTTTGTTTTTGTTTTGATTGTACATATAACTACACATACATTTATTTATTTATGATTTTACCTATCGTACGCTTTCAGCTGTTGAGGCCACATTGAAATATACTCTACATATGTATGTATGTATGCATTTGGATGTGCGCTCGAAGAGCAAGTGGCAGCAATGTAAGGTAAATGGCAAAATGTTATAAAACAAAAATAAACTGCGCATTATTCCAAAAAAAAATCTCAAAAACAAAGGAATCTTACATATTATTATAATAGACGGCAAAACGTCTGATAAAGCCCCCAACCGGTCTCCCATTTTGCGCGACCGAGAGCTATGCAGAGAGCGAACGCCAAGCAAATGCAAAAACAACAATACGCAAAATATCGTGTCGACAGTGGCAATGGCAATACTAAAAGCAGAGTAAAATCAGAAAACGGCGCTTTTTGCACCGGCTCTCCGCTGGGTATATAAAGGAAAGTGCGCAGCAAAAATCCAGTTTAATTGAATAACACAATTCGAGAAGTGAAGACATACGTTCAAAGGTGCTGAATAAGCAACTTGTATAGAAGAAAGCAGCAAAAATATATTATATATTTTCAAGTATTATCCTAAAGAAAAGAGAAGTAGCCAAAAGAAAGTGTTGCACTTAAAGGAAATTGAAAACAAAAGCTACATAAAAGCAACCGCAAGATCTCATTTGTAATTTATCAACTGCAAAACCAAAGTCAAAACAAAATGTCTGAGGCTTATTTCGATGAATACGAGCACTACAACTTCGACCACGACAAGCATATCTTCTCGGGTCGCAGTGGCAAGCAACGCAGCAAGAAGGAGGCCAGCGAGCACACTAATCACTTTGATCCTAACGGACATTCACGCAAATTAGTTACTAAATTTATGAATACCAATAACAATCGAAAGACGTGTGCCACCAAGAATTGAGTGTTGGTCCAAAGTGAGGTAGAAGTTGTGCAGCAGCAGCAACCACAACAGCAGAAACAGAAGCAGAAGTACAAACGCGTTAGTGAGGAGCAAAAAGTTAAAAATTTTATAAAAATCGAAAAGGAGACAAAGCAGAAACCTAAGAAGAAGAAAGCGGGCTTAATTGGAGCTACGTGGCGTCGTAATAAATCCAACAAAATAAAAATTTTCGAGCGTTAGATTTAGAGTAGAGTTTATTGAAGAGAGAAGCAGTAGGAGGATCTTGGTCTAGCAGCTGAAACAGGATAACGAGTTTTGGTGGGATTTTAAACCAAGCGAAAGCTAAAAGTAAAGCAGGAGGTTGCGCGGCGTCGCGGCGAAGTATTATTGACGGCGTGTGTTGACGGCCAACTACTTGCAGAAACTGCCAATTTTATGTTACATACTGACTGACATATAATTGTGCAGCGTATGCAAGTTGGGCGGCGGTTCACACATAAAGCAAATACAAAAAAAAAAAAAATTTTTGAGAAAAAAAGTTGCATTGCGAATATTATTACATGTGTGAAAATTTTGAAACACAATATTTCGTACTATTATTAGCTATAATATTACTTGTTAACGATAAGTAACTTAATAGTATAGAAAAATTTGTTCTTTTTCTGCACAGTTTTAGATATTTTTCATTCAATACTATTTAAGAAATATAATATTATAATTTTTTTTTATACTCACAAATTGTATAACGTGACAAATTTCGCATCTGTTTATGCATTTTGTGTAATGCACTAATTCCACTTTGGTTTATTTGTGATTTTAATATTTATATTCATTTCTTCTAATATTCATATTATTGTATTGTAATTAGAATTAAAACAAAAAAAAGTTGAGACTGTATTTAGCATGAAGCTGCAGTTAAATTATTATAACTCATTGAATAAATATTTAATAAAATATAAAACTAAAATGAAAACCAAACTAAAATCTTTTATTTTTTATTTACTTTTTATTTATAAAAATCAAATTTTTTATTTACAAAAATCTTTTATTTTTTATTTACAAAACCTATTTATTTTTTATTTGCAAAAATCGTTTATTTTTTAATTTACAAATATTATTTATTTTTTATTTACAAAAATCTTTTATCTTTATTTACAAAAATCTTTTATTTTTTATTTATAAAAATCTTTTATTTTTTATTTACAAAAATTATTTATTTTTATTTAAAAAATTCTTTTTTTATTTACAAAAATCGTTTATCTCTATTTACAAAAATCTTTTATTTTTTATTTATAAAAATCTTTTATATATTATTTACAAACATCTTTTATTTTTTATTTACAAAAATCATTTATTTTTTAATTGCAAAAACTTTTATTTTTTTATTTACAAAAATCTTTTATTTCTTATTTACAAAAATTATTTATTTTTTATTTACAAAAATTATTTATTTTTTATTTACAAAATTCTTTTTTTATTTTCAAAAATCATTTATCTTTATTTACAAAAATCTTTTATTTTTTATTTATAAAAATCTTTTATATATTATTTACAAACATCTTTTATTTCTTATTTACAAAAATTATTTATTTTATATTTACAAAAATTATTTATTTTTTATTTACAAAAAGCTTTTATATATTATTTACAAACATCTTTTATTTTTTATTTACAAAAATCTTACATTTTTTATTTACAAAATCTTACATTTTTTATTTACAAAAATCTTTTATTTTTCATTTACAAAAATCGGTTGTTTTGACTTTAACTTTTAAGGACCACACCTCGTTGTTTTTTTTAGGCTTAGCCTTCCAACACATTTCTTTATATAAGTCCGTTTTCAATGGCGCTGAGGTCAGCAGATCGAGAGTCAGTCTACATATAACCTCAATTCCATTGACCCGAAACCATTTCTGTGCAAGCCTACTGTTGTGTTTTGGGTCATTGTACTGGTGGAAGACCCATTTTAGCGGCATGTTATCTACTGCTAATATTAGCTTAAAATTTTGCAGTATAATATTGTAGAATATGCTTGGTGATCCATGATGCCTGCATTTCGATGGATCGGACCAACGCCTCTGTACTAGGCGCATCACCATACCATTATACCGGACCCAGTATGTTTTAAAGCTATTGTGGTGTGTCATACTCTGTATTAGGGGGAAGTCATACATACCTACTTTCGAGACTTCTTCCTGCCATAAAGAATAACTTTCGACTCTTCACATATGTATGTATGTTCCTGCATTCGTTTAAAAAATAGGAAAAGCCTCTCTAAAAACTATTCCCTTGACACGAAATCCAACTTTTTACCACGTTTTGTTTTGTTTACTACCGTTTCATTGGTCACTGAGAATTATTGTGCAAACATCGCAATGTTATCTGTTGTACCGAATAACGGTATTCACTTAACATTTTCAAATCCACGTTACATATTACAGAATGTACCGGATTAAAAATAAAAATTAAAAATTTTAGTCCCAAGCATATAATTATTCATTCAAATTATAAAATAACTTTTTTAACTTTTTAATCCCAACAACGGTTTCCAAAAATAAAACTTTAATTTTTAATCCAAAATTTTTTTATTAATAAATTCGCAACCCTGCATACATCTGTATATGTATATAATATATATAATAAATATATTTGTTGTCACTAGGGACTAATTTTGACACTTGTTTGCTTAAAATGCACTTACATACATATATGTACATATGTAAATGCATAAATTTCCGTGACTTTATTCTAAATTTTGTTGCAATATTCATATATTCACATACATAAGTATATGTACATATACTACAAGTATATAAATATACATATGTATGTATGTTATATTTGTAACACGTACATATAACGGTACATTTTTCATTTCCGTCATACAAATATAGTGTTTTTCGTTGTTTGTTTTGTTGCTGCGTTTTTGTGTGACTTTTATATTATTCAACATTGTTATAAATAACTAACCGACCGCTTTGACTGTGTCCGATTTGCTTCACGCGTAAATGTGCATGTGTGTGTTTGTGGTCTGAACTCAATTGCACTCGCTCCACTAAATTGTTGGCGTTGTTGTAAAATACAGATTTTTAGTTATCGCAAGCATATACATACATACATATATATATAATATATTCACATGCGTACACCTACAATATATATGTATATACATATATAAAAATGTATGTACTACATATCATCTAATTCGTTTGTCTTATTCTTGCTTAGGTTGTAATGGTCGATTATACAAACATACATATATGTATGTACTTATTTATACCATAAACGGGGTAACATTCAGAAGAAAACGTCGGAGACCCTATAAAATATATATGTATGTTTGCACATAAGATATAGATACAGGTTGGTTGAAAAGTGTTAGTGCTCACCAAGAAATAGCACTACTAGCTCTAGTTTATTTCTCAAGTTGGTACATCTGTCCTGAGAACATATGCAAAGTTACGAGTTATTCTGTTAATTAATTCTTTGTTGACAAGCCATTTGAAGTTGACGTGTCAGAGTATATTTTTATGGAAAAAATAGAATATCGCACAGTGATTAGATTGTTTGTTTTGAAAGGTTTAAAAGTAAATGAAATTTATGAACAATTGTTAGAAGTGTATAAGGAGTGCTCACCTTCAAAACGCACCGTTGAATTTTTGGTTAGTGAATTTAAACGTGGTTGTACTAGGCTTGAAGACGATACACGCGAAGGACGACCAAAAATCGCAACCACACCAGAAATCATTGAGCAAGTTCATAATACTGTTAGTGAAGAAGTCCAAGCTTGACTAAGCGTGAAATTGCTAATGCCATAGGCCTCTCAGACGAACGAGTACTTTATATATTACATGGAGGATTACATATGAAAAAGCTGTTTGGAAATTTAGTGCACGTTAACAATTCAACAAAAATTGGATCGAAAATAAATTTCTCAGCTTAATTTGGAGCGTTTTAAGCAGAATAAAACCGGTTTCTTGCGTCGTTGACTATGGATGAGACTTGGATCTACCACCATGATACCAAATTGAAACAAGAACGTTTATAGTGGACTGAAGCTTGTTGTTCAGCTCCAAAGCAGGTGAAGTCACAACGATCAGCAAAGAAGGTTATGGCATCAGTTTTTTGGGATGCAAAATGAATTTCGTTGATTGATTATCTGCAGAAAGGTAAAACAAATATTATTATTATTATATATTATTGCTGCCTTTTTGGATCAGCTGGATGAAAATTTTCGTGAGAAAAGACGTGATTTGTAGCACAAAAAAAAAACATTTTTCATCAAGACAATGCATTTGCTCACTAAAGTGTTTTAACAATGACAAAATTCAACGAATTAAAGTACGAATTGCTTGAACATCCACCGTTCACCAGATTTGGCTCCCAGCGACTACTACCTCCTCAGAAACCTAAGACAAATATTTCGTGGAAAGCGTTGTTCGTCGAATGAAGAAGCTATTACAGTCGTAGATAGGTATTTTGCAGAGCTTATGGAAAGTCATTATAGGGATGGCATAAAATTATTGTAGGATCATTAAAATAAGTGTATTGAAGTTGAGGGAGATTATATTGAATAAGAAAAATATATTTCGTATCAAAAACAGTATTTTTTGATTTCGAGCGCAGAAACTTTTTAACCAACCTGTGTATACATATGCATATATAATCAGCATGAGGATATACATATCTATATACGCGAACTAGTTCCTCTGGTTTTGAAATATGGATTCCAGATTTTGCATACCTCCTTTTCTCACCAAGAAGCTGCTCATTTGTTGGAATTAGGGTTGCAAATAGACGATTTAAAAAATAATTGAATTAACATTTGAATTAAAATTTTAATTTCGTATACCGGTTTAAAAAATAAACAAAAAAATGAAAATTTAATTCTTAATCCCAAATTCCCCTGGTCGGAACCGCCACTATACATAGCATACATAGTATGTATTTGATACATATGTAGCTGCCATACAAACTGATCGATAAAACTTAAGTCCTTGTATGGAAAATTTTTTTTATTATGAAGGATATTATGTAAGTACATATAGTACATATGCATGTAAGCATGTAAGTTAACGGCAGCCTCCACACAGTAGCTTTAGGCTAATTATAAACAAAACCGTCTATTTGCACTTAGCAATTATACAGCCTTCTAATAAGCATCTCTGCTTATTTAAGTAACTGATATTCTATTTCGTTCAGCTAAGACCACCCACAAAATACAAACAATAAAACCAATTACTGAATAAGCAAATATTGTAACTGACACTCTCTTTATTGTAAGAATTAAGCGAATAAGTAAAATGTATAAAATAAGAGTAAATTGAAACGAAGAGCTCAGTTATCCATCAGGATCACTCAAACTATCATTTTTGATTTCTTTCGCGCGTTTGCGGAAAACTACTTGTATATACATGTATATATTTTTTAACACTTCCTAAAGGAAGGAAGTTAATTTGTATGTATATTTTACATAACTGACCTTTCTATATGTAGGAACTGCTTAAAATAGCATAAATCCCATATCATGAAAAATATTTATTCTATTAATTAAATGAATATTATATTTTTTATATACACAAATCTACATATACGTAAGTATTTGTAATAACTACTTATGAAGATATACATACATATGTACATACATAATTTGTATGTATGATATTTGCCAAGGTCACCGTCAAAGTATTAATAAATTAAATTTGCATTACTGTGCGCCTTTGTTTGGAAATTGCAATTATATATACTTACATACATATGTATGTATGCACATTCACACACATAATTGTACATATGTATATGTATATATGTAAGTATGTACATATGTATACATATATGAAACTATTTCAAAATGCATTCGTGCACTTTTGTTTAAAGCTTCACGAATAGTGGTGTAGAAATATGAAAGCAAATAAATCAAAGGTGAAAATAACAGATTATTCGGTTAGTTACATACATATACATGTACATACCGTTAGTATAAATCAAGAGCAAAACATAATGAAAATATTAGTGACAAGCCCTATAAAAGCTTCTATGCTTTCTTTTACTAAAGTAGAGCAGTGGAATAATTTATGGGCATTAAGAATATTTGTAGTCATATGACAGACCGAGATACATACTTATGTACATATGGTATGTATGTATATATATAATATATAACCGGTATAACTGTTCTAAGTTCAACAATTTAGAGGGCATTTCGTTTGTAAATACAGTAATTTTTGAATGTAAAGTAGCGCGGTGAGCTTAGTAAATTAGAGCAAAGCAACAATTAGTCATTACTGTTTCTTTACATTCTTTCACACTATATGTAATTTAAATCAAATTAATAATCAAAAAGTACTTAATTTATGTATTTAAATAAATAATTTAAAAATAATACGTGATATTCATGTTGTTGTTGTTGTAGCGGCAAAGTTCTGCCGAGTTAACCGTCATCAGCCGTATGTATATAAATCCTGGTCCGTTCCGGTTATGTAGACTCGACTATCGTGTGTGCTGTGCTTTGTTTAAAAATAGCTAAGAATTAATTAAAAAAATTTTAATTTTCGACTTCCATTGTTTTCATTTATTATATGTATGTATGTACCGTATTCTTTTTACGCTTTTTAAAATATCCCTCAGTCCTTCGATCGACCAAGTAGTCTACATTAAAATCTTCTCATAAACATTTTAAGGCTCCTTCTTTATTTATCTCTATTAACATAAAAATCACTTTGTTTCCCAGTTATCTTTTAATTAAAGAAATTAAATTATTGTGCTTAATACTTTAAAAGCGAAAATATTTAAAAACTCCAAATCCGTATTCACACAAATAAAAGCGTACTGACAGAACACGTGTACGAAAAGCGTGAGAAAATCTCATTTTTGGGGTGATTGAAATTTGAATGCTAACGGAATACATACTTACGTACATATATAAGTACATATCAAAGGTAAAACAGCTGTTGCATAATATAATATATTCTCAATTTATGTAATATTAGTTTTTAAAGATTTTAAAAGCCCTAAAATTCTATACTCAACTTATAGATATATCCATACATACATACTTCTGTACATGCATGTACGCGTATTATTCTTTATAGTGTGTTTGTTGCAACACCCAGAAGAAAACGTCGGAGACCCTATAAAATATAAGTATATATATACATATATACATAAATGATCAGCATGATTAGCTGAGTTGATTTAGCCATGTCTGTCTGTCTGTATGTCTGTATACATACATATGTATATACAAACTAGTCCATCAGCTTTTTGTGTTATCGTTCTGAACCTTTGCACCTGTACTTTTCTCACCAAGAAGCTGCTCATTTGTCGAAACGGCCGATATCGGACCACTATAGCATATAGCTGCCATACAAACTGAACAACCGGAGTTTAGTACTTGTAAGGAGCGTTTGTATTTGTGAAGGGTATTATAGCTACTTATAGCTTATAGTTAACGGTTTTTTTGTTTTTATTATTATTTTCCAGCTTCGTCATCAATAAAAATCTTCGGGTCTATGACTCACTGACCTTTCACTTAAATACTTATCAGTTTATTCGCATTACAGATTTGCGATAATCAACCAATACTTTTGAACACCATTCCAACGCCATGCATACACATTAACACATACATACATATGTACATAAGTGTGTAGATATTGACGTTTTACAATTTTGAAAGAATTGACACGACTCTTTCATTTTTTAAATAAAAATACGGTTATCTGTCGTGGTTTAAAAAAAAATCAAATTTGCACAGCTGATTTATTCATACGGAGAATATGCGCAGTAAAATATTTATTATAAAATATTGCGTATGTTTATTAATTTAGCGAACTGCTGGTTTTAATTTTATAATCGACTAGCGGCAAAGTGTATATACATATGTATGTATATGTACATATATTTACAAGAATTATAGCAAAATGAATGTATGTATGTACATATGTGCGGCACTTAACTCAGCTGACAACAAATACATATGTGTATACGTGTGTAAAAATGTTGACTTATAAATTATATAATATATGTATTTATTTGTAAGACTCTATACAAGCTTATGCAATATATAAAACTTGAATTTGCTTATAAACATTTATCGCTATGTTGATATATACACATGTACATATTGAGAACATTAAAGCAAAGATAATAAAAAAAAACACATAAGTATTTATAGGTATATTTGTACAAATGTAAACAAAGAAAAAAAGCGAGCCGGCTTCTAAAGAGGCCTTTTATTTTGGTTGACTTACCACGTTTCTGTTTCCTTTCCTTCAAAACTACTCGCTTACATACATATGGGTGTGTATGTACCATATACATACACATATTCTCAATTTTATAGCGCTTTGCTTATTCCAGTTTTTGCTTTGCTCAACAAGTTCTATAGTTATACTTTTACAAGTACTTATAATATAAATAAATATATATGTACATATGTTATGTATGTATATACACTCAGAATCATACTCGTACATAACTACTATATACACACATACATATGTGCATATGTACAATATATGCTACGTGATTTAAATTTCTAAATATCAGATATATTTTATATAAAAAGTGCTATATTGCCATACATATTCGTGGTGTGCTTGGCTACCCAGTAGGAAACTAAATCAGTGAAGTAAACTTTTCAATTGTAATGTAGTTTATTGTTTGTAGTTCATTGGTGTGAAAAACGACAAGCTCCGCATATCAATATATAATACTATAAGATTTTTGTGACTTTGACTTCCACAACAAATTTATCTCTTCTACTTTCTGAAAATATATTATATGTCAGAATTCCTTTTCGAACTTAAAATAACACTCATAAGTGCCGGATTGGAACGAGGCAATGATACCTGTGCCAAATAAATTTAAAACTAATTTAAATACAGAAATACTGTGAAAAATAGAAATTTTATAAATGAAGTCTTGAATTCTACCAGACAAAACATGCAAAATATGCAACAAAAATTAATAGGAATTATTCCAGTGATTAAAAATCGGGAAGTTTATTGTTTTGTTGTTATCCCCTATATAAGTTTTGCTAATACGGCAACAAATAGTTTTTAAATGTCGGCCAAAACACGAATGTCAACGAATTTGTTGTTGGTGATTGGAGTCTCATTCAACTGTTGAAGCACCTTTCTTCTAAATTTTTCTCGAAATTTATTACTGAAATAACATAACGGCAATAAATATCAAGCAAATATTGTCAATTTGTCATTACGTCAATAAATCAATAAACCATTGTTGTGTTTTTTATAGTGGAGTAAAAATGGTATATTGCTAATAATAAGATATTGTCGAAATTCGATCAGTTGGCCATTAAATACCAGAGTTCAAGTACAAAAAAACTCATTTGAATATATTATATAAAAACGCAGTAATAATACAAATATAAGAGGACGAGATATTTCTTCTCACTATAAGAAATAATTTCCTATTGAGCAACTAGAAGCAAACATGAAATATATAAAATTTATATATAGCTCGGAAGTCAGGTAAGAAAAGTATTTGTGGCCACAACAGTTTTATAGTTTTTACACGTTATTTAAATACATATTACGATATTACATACGATATATGTATGTATGCATGTAAGTAATTCGATAACGTCTCCCCGTCCATTGCCTTCAAAGGCATTTATGATATCGTTTACTTTTATTTTGTATCATACCGAACTTTTTTTTTTATTTCCTCTACATACTTATATACAACTCATTTTATTTCCTATTAAAGTTTTTTGTTTTGCTTTCGTTTTCTCTTTTCATTACATCATTCGTTATAAATTCATCAATCATTATCAACGCGCATCAATTTGTCGGTACTTTTGAAAACCTTCCCTGCGTTTTACTCAGTATATACCAATATTGTATGATAGGTAAGTCAGTCAAAATATACAGAAATATGCGTATATACTATGAACCATAAATACATACATATGTACATATATGAATACATTGTATTTGAAATATCGAAAATCAATTGATTTCAATGCGCAATAAGTTATTTATTATCGCTCTTATGGTTGGCGACTTTTGGCGAGGTTAAATATTATTTATGAGCAACTTGTATCGACTGCTACTCATATCGGAAGGTTATTCTAATTGTAAATACATACATATATATATTACATAAATCATTTACACTTAAAATTATGACACCAAATGATAACACCAAAGACTTAAGTAACAGTGGAAAATACTCGAATCTAAGTACTTATGTATAAATAAATATATCATTAAAAATATAATAATAAAATAATGGTTACACATTACGATCTTTTAAAAAATCTCTATATATATAGATATGTATGTACATATAAATATACATACTAATATGCTTCCCTTCGCATACAACACTTGCTTTCTGTCCAAATTCTTAAACCTTAATTGCTTCTATTCAGGTAGAAATTGATACAAATGAAGCGGAATTCCTGCGGGGCTCGTGATTTCAAATAATTCACAATAGATTAATTTATAATAAAATAATGGGAAGTTATTTGGAATATTTTAGTAAAATATTATAAGAAAATAAAATAAATTACGAAGTTAGAAGAAATAAAATATTAAGTTTTTTTTTATAAAAACAGATCGCTATTTATGAACAGTGAACTCTTCATACCGATTTCAGCAGACACTCTTTAAAAATTAATATATGGCCTCTTTTGTTTGATATTATACTGTAATTAAAATTATCCCTTATATATTAATTCTAACTTCGATTACATAGTAAAAAAATGTTAAACAGCATCAAGCTTTAAAAACCCCTAAGAACATATCGCTAATTTCCGCGGTGATGGTAACACCACTTACCGTATATAAAAATATTTCAATTGGCAACGTAGTCATAAACGCGTTTGCCTTGAACGAAGAAGCAGCACCACCAGCAATAGTAACAAATAAGTAGACAAGAATATTTGTGAAATTACTAATTTGTCCATCCGGAAAATATCAACAAGTGCAGTAAAGATTAGCATTAAATTAAATCAGTGCAAACAAAATGTGTAGAAACGCTTTCGTTATTGCTTTACTCATAATTGGTGAGTATAGGAATCCTTTTGGCATATTTTCTTGAAATAAACTCACCTATATGTAATTGCCTGCAGCTACCTGCCAATTTTCAACGCTACATGCGGGTCGCACGTCAGGACGCCGTGGTTATTATGGAGGCTATCAACCAACGCCACCACCTGCTACAGAACTACCACAAACACCGAAAGAATATTTAGACAAAAACTCTAGTTATTCTACTTTCGGTGTAATCACAATAATATTCTTCATTATTATGGCTTGTTTAATATTCTACTATGGTATTCTATGTTATCCGTTTTTGTGTCGTGAGGAGAAAAAATATAGCTATATGGACGCATCATCGACCATAACTTCAGCCACTTCGCATTCAATACAATCCATAGAGAACTTTCCAGTCGACCAAAAGCACTGAGACAACCTCAACGTAGTGGGAGGTCGTCGTGTGTGTACTATGTAAGAAACGCTGTTGCGAAAGTGTTTCTAAGAATTTTTAGGCAGCTTAAAAGACTAAAAAAAATTTTCTACTTTTCTACTCTTTTAGCATTTATGAATTTAAATATTTTTACAACAAATTGTGGTTAAGGTTTGGTAACAAAAAACTAATTTTATTTATGTATAGATACATATTAAATGACTGTTTAAGTAAAATTTCCAAGAAAGGAATCTGTTAACAACATTTACAATATGATTAAACAGGGTAGTTTAATCTGTTGAATTTTTTTGTGGTACATTAATTACTGCCAGTTTGAAAAGTGCTTAAGTGCACGTACACATTAGCGTGATTCCTTTAAGTATTTTTAAAAATATAATATTCTTGCCTTTTAACATTGATGTTAATAACACATTTAAACGCATACGAAAATAAGTATTTAAACTCTTCAGGTTGTGCGAAACAAAAGCGCGTACTTAAAAACACTTTAACCTAACAAGTAATATAAAAAATCGCTACACAATCTTTCCCAATATTTTTAAGATTATCTTTCAAAGCGAACGTCCTCAAATAAAAAGTTAACAATAACCTGAAAACGGTTCTCGAATCATCACAAAACTCTGTGCTTACAAGATCAAATATTTTCAGCATCCTATATCGGCATAGTGAATAATATATATAAGTTTATATAAGTAGATGTAATAACAAGTAAAAAATATACTCTCTTCACACCCTTTTTGTTGTAAGTTCTTAGCCTATATAAGCAACAACACATTTAACGGGCCAAAACTTAAAGCTCAAATGACATGCCAATTTGTTTGACACTTTTTATACATTTGCATTTTTACCATATACTTGAAAATATACAAATCTTGATATATACAAAATCTAGCATAGTTATAGTCTAGCATGTAGTTTGTTTATAAAGACGTATGCGAATACGTATTTTTATAGCATTTTTTACATAAACATTTTATATAAATAAATATACATTTTGTCATACTATCCAACTTTTATAATAAAAATGTGTTTTCTACAATTTGTTTTGTTGTTTTCAATTTCATCATCAACGTCTGTGTTTTGCAAGCAATTACGTGGTGCCGCAAACCTCAAGCACAGATCTGTCTCACGTTTTTTTTTTTGTCAACACATATAGTTAGTTTTATTGTTTGATATGCTATAATGTCTAGAATAAAACCAATTAGCTATGCATATTTATACCCTTAATACGGTAGTATTAAGTTTGCCACGAATTGTGTAACAGCCATATATATATAAATGATCAACACGGCGAGCTGAGTTGATTTAGCCATGTCTGTCTGTATATACGCGAACCAGTCCCTCAATTTTTGAAATATCGATCTGTAATTTTGTATACGTCATTTTTTCCCCCCCCCAAATAGCTGCTCATTTGTCGGAACCGCTATAGGACATAGCTGCCATGCAAACTGATTCATCAAAATCAAGTTTTTATATGATACACTTTATTTGAGAAGATATCTTTACAAAATTTGGCATCGATTATCTTCCAAGGTAACGCTACAATCTCTAAAATAATTGTACAGATCCGACAACTATAGCATATAGCTGTCATACAAACTGACTGATCAAACTCAAGTTCTTGTATGGAAATCATTTTTATTTGTAAAGGGTATTATAGCTACAGTGCTACCAAAGTTAACGTTTTCTCTTAATATTGAAGAAATTAAAACAACCTCCATGACAGGATATGCTCTGCCATATTTTTAGTTTTTTGCGACCTATGTTCTTATAAGTTAATAACTGAAATGTTTTAAAGACGCAAGGTTTTAAAATAGTAGATTTCTTTATTCATTTACTACATATACTTCCATAAGTTGAGCACAAAAATTCGAAATAGAAAAAATATTAATTTATAATTTTATTTACCTATTAGTTTTTGGATTAATGTTGGCTCTAAAATATATTTAAGTAATTAGTTTTATCGCTCTATAAATGGGATCTCTTAAATATACTATAAAACTAAATTAGACTTTGTGGAACCCTATTAAAAGTTACATTTCAAAGAACGCTAATGAATACACATAACACTTGAATACTATACTCACTTGTTACACATATTATGCTCGCATGTAGGTATGGGTGGTTATAACTGTAACACGTAAATAGGTAAATGCAATCGCATATTTTAAGAAACTATTTATGTGTGACAATCAAAAACACTATCACACATAAATTATTAATTAAGTAGGTAGTGTATAAAAAGGTTTGGATTTGAACTGAAACATTTTTATTTTTTTGTTTTCTTATCTTTTGGTGGTTTTATCGCCGATTCGCTCATATGTCCTTTTACATTCGCATAACCTGTTCTTGTAGTAAAACGTAGCTAATTCTTCGGTAAGTCTTAGTGTAGATTGACATGAATATGCAGGAGTTTAAGTATTTCAACTATAGATACTTTAAAGCTCATCTTTGGAGTCGTCCAAATCGACATCTGATAAGTCCACTTCTTCTTCAGCTGGTAATTGACCATCTTTGCCATCCCATGGTTCTACAGTGACAATTTCAGGTTTCTTAGCACCACGCACCGGTGCAGTATGTCCGCGTCCATAAGAAATGTCACGGAGGAACTCATTGATGCCATCTTTGGAGAAGGAGCCCTTCAATACCGAGAACTTCATTTTCTTGAAATTCACTACAGCCATAGCAGGATAACCGAAACCGCCAATTTCCAACGATTCTTCTAAGCTGCTCTGTGCACCACCTTCAGCCCAGGCCCATCCCCACAATTTTTGCTTATATTTTTCACCCAATCCACGCAATGTATCGAGGAATTTGTTGCGACATTTGGCATCACAGTCCAGGATGTGTGGCAGCACTGAGACCACGCAAAGTGGCTTACCCTCACAAGCTTTTTCGAAAGAACTTTCATCATAAATTTCGAATAATTCTGGAGCTGGTACGCTGTCTACGTGTTTTTCAAGTGCCCAGCTGACAATATCTGAAGCGGAGCGACCGCCATCATATTCTGCAGCGTCACTACTGCTCTTCTTACCGGCTGGGAAGAACTTAATTGTGGGATAACCGCGAATGCCATATTCCTGTGAGAATCAGAGAAATATACAAAATTATAGACTTTTAGACAATGTGTGTATGGTTGATGAACTATAAATAAAAAAAAATGTAGCCGACCGATTTATATCGAGTTAAACTTTTATATTCTAAATACTAAAGCCCTATGAAAGTGCATGTTTGCCAAAAAATATAGTAATAATTGCTATTTAAATATTTACTGCATTATATAGTTACAAAAAATAGTAACAAAATAAAAAATCTTTACATCATTAAACTCCCATATTCGTTATATACTGTTTACTCACCGAAGCTTTGCTCTGATGAACTGTAGCGTCCAATGCGCCCAATTTAACTTTGCCCTTCAGCTCTTTAGCAGCTTTAACCCATTCAGGTGCCAGTTTCTGGCAATGACCACACCATGGTGCAAAGAACTCAACCAACCACACATCATCGGATTGCAAAACCAGTTTGTCGAAGTTATCATCAGTCAATTCAATGACGGCATCTGAGCCACCACTGCTGCTGCTGCTGCCGCCGCTGCTACTACTGCCGCCGCCTAAAACATCTTGCACCTTCTTTTTAGCTTCAGCTAGTGCCGCCTCCGCAATCGCTTTAGCTGTGCGTTGGCCGCTGTAGCTAATGGGCGAACGCTTATTAGCGCCGAAAATTTTTATGGTTGGGAAACCTTTAACACCATATTGACCACCTAGCGAACGATGTTCATCAGCGTTCACTGAGCCTACTTTCACTACACCCTTTAGTGCCTTGGCCGCTTTTTTATATTCTGGTACGAGGGATTTGCAGTGACCACACCATGGTGCAAAGAACTCAACAACCCAGACGGCATCATCATCGACCACGAGACGATCGAAGTTAGAGGGAGTTAATTCCACCACGTCATCGCTTGGCGAATACAATGCAGATGCCGGCAGCGGTATGGTAGCTAAACCGACTAATAAAAGTGTAGCTGCAAAGATAACACCAAACATATGTATGTGTTTTGGAAGCACATTGATATAAGGAAATTATGAAATTTCAATACCAATTAACAACTAGTCGTTCATACTTACATAGTATTAATTTCATCTTATCTAGAAAATTAGATTTTTTTGTTGTGCAGATTCTTCTAGACCGCTTAAGCGGAAGCCGGATAATAATGAAAATATTTTTATCAAATGTGTTGTGTTAAGCACTATTTATGAGGAAGACTTATATTTAGTCAGACAAGCTTATTTTCCTTGTGTAAAAAACACAGATTTTCTTATAACTCTTCACTAAAATTACCACTCGACACTGATTCTTTTTCACTACTTTTTGCTTTCTGATTATTTTAATCGCTGTCGGGGATTTTCTTAAATACTTTTGCTGCTCTTAATATTTCTCTTCTTTAATATCTGTGCGTTTCTGATTGGTTGATTTTTAGAACTTTCAGGTCGACAGTGTTGCCATATTTCGATAATGTGACTTAAGTTTTGTGTTTTTAGAACTATTATATCACTAGTATTATTATTTTGTATTGTATTTTAGTTAATGTTGGTACTAGGAATTTTATAGCTAAGAAAAACTAGTTGTTGTTGCAGTGCTTATTTTTCTTAACAAGTATACATATAGGGGATAACATCACTGCTGCAAGAATAGATAGAAGATTTTTAAAAGCTCGTTTTTAATACAATAGTTTATATAACTCTCACTCACTTGAATTTCATAGAATAAGACGTCCTTTTTTCTTAATATTATACACAATTACGTTATCGACAATATATATTCAGAGTTAAATTTTACCAGAGAATGTTGATGAGTAGAGAAGGAGCAAATGTTAAATGAAAACTTTTTGAGTACTAATTTGTAATTCCACAAGAGGGAACATCGAAAAGTATAACTTCGAAAAAGAAAAATACACCACACAATATGCGAAATGCTATAAATAAACACAACGAATATTCCTATATGAAAAATCGTTGCGCATACCTATTTAGATTTATGTTTTCAATTTCTATGATATGACAAATTTATAATTATGAAAAGCCTTCTGAATTAAAAATCTGTATTACCGGTAAAAACCCCAGAATTCATAATAAAATAAACATTTAATAGGCTATTTTTCTAACTTATGTATGTGCGTTATGTGAGCATTTGCTTATTAAAAAAAGGATAACAATAAAACGGTGGCTAAGCGGCCACATTTCCACTTTTGTGGTGGCTGAGGTCGTAGGCGTGAAGGAGTTAAGCTCAATCCTAATACGAGCATATACGTTCGAATCGTAAAATACGTAAAATTGAAATTTTATTTAATTTTTTTATTTTATTAATTGGAATTAATTAGCATATCTCAATTCAATTACTTAAATAGCATATTTTACTTTCAGAGATAATTAAAATATTTCAGGAAAATATATTCATATGTTTAGGTTTATTGAATATTTCCTTATTATGCGTATTTACACAAATGTGATAATCACACACACATTCTTAAATACACGTACGCTGATGCTTGCTTCTTCTTGCCCCGCACAAGCAATGACTTTTGTCTACGCTTTTTGCTTTTTGCGAGTTGAACGATCGCTGGCAAGGAGGGATTGGGGCGCACAGCCACATAATTATTTCAGATATATATTTTATTTATCGAATTCAGTTTGAAAACGATTATAGGTATGAATTTATTGGTATATATATATATATATATATAATATATATTATATTACGAAAATAAATGCATAAATGCATCAGTATTTTTCAATACAAATTAAGCAACATATCAATATATTATGAGCCCTCACTTGACACGCCTATGTGCATGGTGGCAAGCCAACGAAATAACGGCGAGTTCGCGCGGACATTGTGTTATTGAAAAAAACCAAATGACGACTTTGCCGACAAACATACATATTTATATACATACATACAAACGAGCTCGCATACATATTGACGCCAAATTTTGCGCATCGTCGCGGAGTTGACAAAATTTGTTTCAATCGACAA